AGACTTAGTTCCTGAGGTTTCTGAGAAGGTCGCCCTGTTTTTACAGTCTGCCATAAGAGCCTGTCCGGAAATGTTATAGTATTAATTTTCTTTTTAAAATACCGCATCAACTCTTATATTGTTGACTTTGTACCTCCCTCTGTTCAACTGGTGTTGGTAGTATCTGTTGTTGTTGTTGTTCAGTTGCACGGTCAAGTCTGACTCTTTGCGACCCCCATGGACCCCATCACACCAGGCCCTCCTGTCCTCCTCCGTCCTTCGGAGTTTGCTTAACTTCATGTTCATTGCATCAATAACACTGTCTAACCATCTCATCCTTTGCTGTCCCCTTCTTCTTTTACCTTCATTGTACATGCCAATAAAGGTGACTGACTGACTGACAGACTCAGTTTAGTTATCTTAGCATCTAGGGAGAGTTTGGCTTGGCCCACCAGGAAATCTCCCAGTAAGTTAAATGGCCAGTCCACCCCTGGTTTCAATGAAAATGAACATGCCCCTTCCTCTGCCTATCCATTAAAGGTAAAGGTAAAGGTTCCCTTGCTTGAAAGCCAGTCGAGTCCGACTCTAGGGTTGTGGTGCTCATCTTCATTTCAAAGCTGAAGAGCCAGCGCTGACCGAAGACGTTTCCGTGGTCATGGGGCCGGCATGACTAAACACCAAGGCGCACAGAACACTGTTACCTTCCCACCGAAGTGGTACCTATTTATCTACTTGCAATTTCTTGCTTTCGAACTGCTAGGTTGGCAGGAGCTGGAACTAGAGACGGGAGCTCACTCCATCATGCAGCACACTCGGGTCTCGAACTACTGAACTACCGACCTTCCACGGCCTGCAGTTCAGCATCTTAACCACTTGAGCCACCGCAGCTCCTCTTCCTATCCATTAGCTTACTGTATTTTGCTTTTTATCTCTGTAATGCCATTGCACTGTCAGTTCAAAACCAATTCAAAACCATTTATTTTGTATGTTTTCCCATACTATAACTGACTCTCCAAGTGGGAATCACCCATAGTCTCCTACCTGGTGCTGAAGTGTAGCAAACTCTGGAGAAGGGACCTTATTCATGAAGAAGGGGAGAATTTAGCCCCCTGTGTTTCCCAGTGCTGTAATTAACCTTAAAAAGGGATGGGAATCACCCACAGTTCGGGTTGCCAGCTCTGGGTTGGGAAATACCTGGAGATTTTGGGGGTGGAGCCTGAGGAGGGCAGGATTTGAGGAGGAAAGGGACTTGAATGGAGCATAATGCCATAGGCTCCACACTCCACAGCTGCCATAACTTCTCTCTCTATCACCTGGAGATCAGTTGTAATCCCAGAAGATATCCAGCCACCACCTGGAGGTTGGCAGCCCTACCCACAGTCTCTAGCCCAGCAGTGAAGTGTGGCAAACTTGGGAGAGGGGAACTTATTCATGGGGGGGGAAAGATGTGTGGGAGACAGGAAGTGGAAGGCTTCAGATCTTGCACTATTCCTGAGCAATGTGATGTAAATAGGTGGAAAGCTTTTTTTTTAAAAAAGACTTGTGTTCATGTACATTACCCTTTGAGAACCAGTTTGGTGTAGTTGGTTAAGAGCAGCAGACTCTAATCTGGAGAACCGGGTTTGATTTCCCAGTCTTCCACGTACAGCCAGTTGGGTGATCTTGGGTCAGTCACTGTTCTCTCAGAGCTGTTCTCTCATGAGCAGATCTCGAAAGAGCTCTCTCAGCCCCACCTACCTCACAAGGTGCCTGGAAGAAGGAGATTGTAAGCCACCCTAAGACTCCAACTGAAGGGCAGGGTATAAATCCAATTCTTCTTTTTTTTCTTCTCCTCCTCTGCAAATGTACCCTGCTAAACATTTTTATAAAAAAGGGGAAAGTGGGGGATTCATAATGGAGCAGAGATAACAGAGGAAGAGGGTAAGGGCCATGCACACCTAGTGTGAAAGGGAAAGCATGGCTAATAGCACATGACACTGTGCCATGTTGCAGGTTCGAAGTGAGAAAATACTGGATTCGGAACATGATGAGGACAGTAAAGATCCACAGTGAGAAAGCAACCCTGGTTTCATCCTGTCTTTCTATCTGCCCATTTCGCTCTTTGATAGAGAAAAACTGCTCTGTACTATTGTGAATCTCCATGCACTAACTGCAGGCTCTTAGGACTGTGCCTCTTTCAGATGTACATGGTTAGCATTGATTAAATGCTCATTTGTCAGTTTGCTAATATTATCTTAGTCGTGGGACTGGCGTAAGCATCTCTGAAATTAATTCCAACTTTTCCTAGCATTATGGTCTTTTTCTGGTGAGCAAAGTACGACAGACTTAGTTCCCGAAGTTTCTGAGAAGGTTGCCCTGTTTTTACAGTCCGCAATAAGAGCCTGTCAGGAAATGTTATAGTATTATTATTTTTTTAAAATACCACATAAACTCTTATATTGTTGACTTTGTACCTCCCTCTGTTCAACTGCTGTGGGTAGTATCTGTTGTTGTTGTTCAGTCACACAGTCAACTCTGACTCTTTGTGACCCCATCACAACA